TTGGCTTTTTAACTCTATTGAATAAATAAGATATTCGAGATAATACCTATACATAATCTTTCTCCTTTTTATCTTTAATAAATACAAAACAAATAAAGAATGTTGTATTAAAACTTGTAACACTAACAACATTTAGAAGTGGCATTTTGAATTTATTAGTCTTGTAAGTGCAGTCCATAAGCAACATAGGGGAATAACTACGCACAAGCTTAATAGATTTATAGTGAAAAAAGAAAAGGTGTGTCACATGTCCATCACTATTATATTTATAGTTATACTCAAATTGGCCTTTTTTGAGTTCCTCTACAAGTATCTGAATAGAGGTATAACCTTTTAAATTTTCTTGCTGAAGTCTTGTGCGAATGTTGTAAATGTCTCGTGATGTTATTGATTTCAAAGGATTATTTTGACAGAGTGATGATAATATTTCACGAGGATGAACACCTGCTCTTGTCATCTTACTCAACTGCTTTTGTGCTTGTGTATCTAATCTTCAGAGAGATGGATGAGTAGCTATATTTTCAGATAGTCTATGACTATGTTCTGGATTTTGAATCGATAAAGTCTATATATTATTAAACCCTTTGGTGCTACAGATGGAAAAAGAGCATTTAATTAATCTGCTACTAGTATTTTTTTTACGTGTTTCCTCTGTAAGATTTAACCGATTTTTATATGTTCCACTTTGATCATAACACAAGTACACTTTGCGTTCTTTTGACCTTGCAATAGATATAGTGTAACTATTAGAGGTACCAAATCTTCATACAAATTCAATCAAAGAATTTCTGCTTTGAAATTGATCACTAGCCGGAGGAGCTAACATAGCCATTTTAATACAACAGTTTGTAGTTTTATTTAGGTAAGGCGAATATAATAACTAAAGCCAGCGTTGTTAGTAAAAGATCTCTTTTATTGTATTCTTTTCTTTTATACTAAACGTATACTAATGTATATAATGTCTTTATTACTAATCATTAATATTAAATACACTTTATTCCTAAGCAAAACTATTATACAATAATTACGTCATTTTACTGATGACTGTCATTCATAAGCTCATGTTATTTAACCCAGAGTGATAGTTAGATATGCAATATCCATTACGGCTTAAGCCATAACAGCTTCTACTACACCTCTATTCTATATTGTATATATACGTACGTACGCTATACTTATTTTACTTAACCACATGTATCACATATATTTGCAGGAGGTGTGAAAATATAAAAAAAGGGTGTGGAAAAATCAGGACCCTAAATTTATATATTTTTATTATTATAATTTATCACATAGTATAACATCTTTCCTGACTGATATTAGCAAAACATTCTAAAAAAAATCCATCACAATAGAAGAAACAGAAGTGGTATTAAAAGAACTTCAAAATATAACAACAACAATGATTAATAAAGAGATAGATATTCTTACAGAACAAATATTAGCAAAATATATTAGAAAAAAACTTATTACAAAGAAAAAAACTGAAGCATAAATAGAAGAACTTTATGAAAAATTATGGTAAAATAACAGGCAAACTAGAATACACAGAACTTGTACTTATAGAAAGAAAATACTATTATTTTTATGAAGCAATACAAAAAGAAGAAAACCAATTAGTTATATTATATATAAAAAAATAAATAGTATAATAGTAAAATGAAATATAGTTGATAACCAAGATATTACTTAAACTCAAGATAGATGCAGACTAGAAAGAATCTAAGATAATCCAAAAAATTAAACCAAAAAAATGCTAAAAGCAATAACTAAATCTATTTATAAAAAAGAATCAAAAAGAATAACAGTATGAGATATATAACAATGAAACAAGGCAAGCATCTTGAAACTTTATTCAAGTGTGTTAATGAGATGCTTCCGATATTCAGAATACTATCTTAAAACTGTCTAAACCTTTATTAAGATGCAGACTATATCATTTGCAAAAATAAAAAAGAAGAAAACCAAAACTATTTGATATACTACAAAGAACAAGAAATTAACTAAAAAATTGCTAAGAACTTTGCAGCTAATTTAGTTTAGACAACTCTTCTAGAAGAAACCAAAAAAAGAATTAACAAAGATTATTTAGAAAAAATACTTTGGGAAGAGTCAAGAAAAGAATCTTTTGAAGCAAGACCCAAAGCAATTAAAGATTTAATTCAAGAAAAAATAGTAAAAAAGATTCAAGAGTCTTTACAATCAAATAAAGAAACTAAAATATACATTAAACTCACTTTAACTATATTATAGAATTGCTTTTATAAGAATATTTGGAAAAAAAGATATGCAAATTTTAATATTCAACTCTCTCTAATAATCACTTATACCAACCAGTTTCCAAAAGCAAGTTGAAAACTCAAGACCAGAAGGGAACAAATAACTTGAAGTTTTTTTAATATGAACTGTTGTCACGAAGTCTTGAACGTGATACACCAAAAAGCGGGCATTTTGAACAGTTTGCAAAAGGGTCAAGCCTTGTTATTTTGTCTTCTCAGGTAGACTTCCTTTTGTGTTCAGCATCCAAACTAGAGAAGTCTTTGAGAACAGTAAGTAAAAAGAAGACTCAAGTTATGTTGAGAACAGAAGGCTATGAAGAACTCTTGGAACAATACTTCTTGGTTGAAAAACTCGCAAAACTATTTTTTTTTTGTGGTTCTTTTTCTTTATAATTTTTGATAAAAAGTGAAGATTTGGCTACCCTCTTCAAAAGATCAGCAAAGAATCAACATTGTTTATTATTTCTATTCTCAAAAAGTCTCGAGTTGTGCTATAATGAATAAGGAAAACAACAAATACGTATGAGGAGAAAGTTTTGAGGCTAAAATTAAAACTGACAATTATGTGTCAAGGCTTTAAGATCGGTTACTCTAGGACCTGAGTTAGATTTAATATAAGAGTTGGCAACTAGAGTAGTAATATAAGATATACAACATTCTGAAGTTGTAGGTATATAATTTTTAGTTCTTAGTACAGATTAAAGTACATTGTAGTTTCTTTTGTCAAATAGCTCTATATATAGATTTCTATGATCATGTAAATAGTTTTTCACCCAGTTAGCGGGTTTTTATATCTGTAGACAAGTTCTTTTAGATTTTAGAATAGTCTTTTAACCCCTTTATAATTTGGTCATCTTCTTTGTATGTTTGTTTTTTTTTACTTATCTCTTTTTCGTTCTATACTTACTCCTTTTTTTTCTTTTTTACTTCTTTACAAGAAAGTATTATCAGATTAGTGGCACTCTATTGTAGAATGATGATTTTGACAAGGTTGGTAAAAACTATCTTTTTATTTCTGGAGCTCATATCCTAGTAAGTTGAGAATCCTAGAAGGAGGAAAATGTTCACTTAGATGGGTTACTTCTGGGTTATATTCTAGCATAAATTTGGAGTTTATTTCATTTTTATTGTGATAATGAGATAGATCGAAAGATTCTTTATTTGTAACAGGTATGAAATATTTCTTATAGATAATGTAGGTTTAGCTAACTAAGATATCTTGTTGTAAGATACTGCCAATAAAAAAAATAAAAAAAGGATCACTGAAGTAAAAAAAAAGAAAAAAAAGATATGAACTCTTGCAGAACTAAAAAATTAGCAAGAGTATCTCAGGCAAAGATAAATGAAGATTCAAACTACTAATAGAAAAGAAGAATCTAAAACCAGAAAGTGCTGACTTAAGATTCAAAAAAGAGTTTCAAAGAATGATAATATCTTAATAAAATAGATAAAAAAAAGAAGGAAAAAAAGAAGAGAGTTTAAAAAATATAAAGAATCATTAGTTTAATAGTTTTAGAAAATTACTTCAAAATAGTTATAGACCCTTTTGGTATAGCTTGTATAGCTAATTTGATATTAGCCTTTTGGTTTTGAAAAATTTTTTAAACTAGTACAACAGACTGCTTCTAGTACTCATGAGATAGCTAGAGAATATTGGGTTTAGATATTAAGCTCAATATTATATATATAATAATTTTAATAAAGAATCACTAGCAAGGTTATCAAAGATTAAAAAAATAAATAAATAAAAATAAATATAGTTGATAAAATAAGATAGTTACTAGATACAAACTCTTTCCAATGATTCTCTAGACAACACAACAAAAAAACTAAACTACAGAAAAATGCTATAGGA